TTTCTTTAGTGATATATTTGGATTTCTTTCTCTTTATTGCTTGCATGTTTATTAGTGGTTTTTAATATATGGTTACCATTAGGTTTGTATACAACCTCTTCTGCATGTAGCAGTCTATATCAATTTCATGGTCATTTAAGTTCAAACCCATTCTTTTCTCCTTTTCTCCCCATGTTTTAGGCATATGTTATTACATTTTATATCCTTTTTTGTGAGTTCCTTGATTGATTTTTACAGAAATATTCATTTTTATTGCTTTGGTGTTTCCTACCTCTCTTCTCTATATTTAGTTGTGGAGTTTGTTCCTCCGGTCTTTAGATTGCTCTCTGATTTATTGACTTGGGACAGTCAAGTTGAAAACATGGGACGGGGTGAGCTCAGGGTCCTCCTACTCCACCATCTTCCCAGGCTCCTTGTTTGCTTTGTTTTTGTTTTATGTTTTATGTTTTTAAGTGTCTTAATCCTCCAAGGATAAATAATGTTAATGTTCTCTCCCAGAGAAGTGTATTTTTCTCTTCAATTCATTATTATTAAACACTTCTGAACCTTTTACTGTGCTAGGTCCTGGGAATTCAAAGATAAATAAGACAGGATTTCCTCTCTCAGGGGCTCAAGAGTCTGAGGAATTAGATCACCATATTAGCATATTGATATGGAATAATAAAAAGGAAACTCAAAAGAATCCAACCCAGCTACAGAAGGGAGAGGGGCTTTGATCTGAGTCACTGAGTCTTAAAGGATAATAAATATTTAGCTGAAGGCAGAGAGGGAAGAAGAGAAGTGGGGAAGGTGACAATGAGCACCACTGGGTGAGGCTTTCAAGCAAAAGGGATGGTTTGAGGAAGAAGATGTACAGCTCAGTGTAATGCTGTTGGGGCATAAAGTGAGGCACGAAGTGTCAGGACCAGAGAAACTAGCTCGGAGCTTGGTGGAGTCCAAATCGTGGGAGACTTCCTGTCCATACTATGGTAGAGCGGCATGATCAAATATTTGCCTTACTAGTCCTCTCTGGGAGAAGGGAGAAGATGAACTTCAGGGAAACAAGTCTAAATAGCGAGACAGGTAGTAAACTGTATTGGTAGTCCGTGGAGGAAAAACACAAATGATTGAAATGGCAGCATGGACATAGAAGAGGAATCGTTTATGAGAAAAATTAGTGATTATAATAGGTAGGGGCTTGATAACTGATAAATAATTGGATAACTGATAGATGAGAAGAGAGAATGAGGAAGATGAACGAGTCCAAGTGATGTCAATCAGAAGAGATCTTCCACAAACCTCCACCCCCTTATCTGTACCCACGAATTCTGTCTGTCTTCCTATCATCATAGGTGAACATATGTGTATCTAAGGCCTCTCTCTCCATCTGTGAACTGGATCCCCACCTGCTTTCCTACTTAAGAAACTGCTCCTGGAACTCGCCCCACCTTCTCCCGCATCATCAATTTTTCCCTCTCTACTGGATCATCAGAGAAATCTGCAGTTCTTTCCCTCACCAAAGACAAAAACAGGAAAAATGCTCTCGTGACCCCCACTGCCCCTGTAGCTACTATCCTCATGTCGCCAGCTCTCCTCCTACTCTCCCCCATCCCTCCCAGCCCGCTTTGGCCACCACCCGCCCCTAGCACTGCCGCCCGGTATGACCCGCGGCCTCTGATTGCTACGCCCAGTGCTCAGTCCTCAGGACTCACCCTAGCTGATCTCGTTAACCAGAATTACACAGCTGATCATTCTCTCCCACTTGAAATATTTTCTTGATTTGGCTTCCAGGATATCACACACTCCTACTTTTCCTGCTACCTCATGATATCTTACCATAAACCAGGTGAAAAAGACAGGTGGCTGACATGTTTGTTTATGGCTTCTTTAAATATAGATTCTTTTAATGGTGGTGAAATATACATAACGAAACATAGCAAACATTTGGATGTATACATTGTAGCCAATGCAATGTTGCACAGCCCTTAAAATGAATGAAAAGATGCTTGTAAGAGGGAATCCGGGGTTCAGCCACCAAGTTCAGGTTGAATAGGGAAGGAGTAGTCAGGAGGGAGCTGCTGCTGAGGAAAACAGAGACCAAGAGACTGGAAACTTCTATGCATCCATCTCAAAACCTAATATTGAGTGGGGAAAAAAGTTGCCAAAAGATACTTGCAGTGTAATATCCTGTATGTATATTTGCAAACTCATAAAGCAATACTATATGTGATTTATGGATATGTTTATGGATAAGTAAAGTATAAAACCTGGGTGGAAATAATATGTAACAGTTTTCACATTATTCTCTGTGTTTTTCTGCATATTTGAAATATTTCCTAATTAAAATAAAATAAGCTATAGGAGCCAGGTCCACGAAGAAAACTAGGGCAGTAGGATCAAAGACCCAGGTGGCAATGTTAAAAGAAGAAGGAGAATTCATCCTCTGAGACTTGGAGGGAGGTGGGGAGTAAAACTAAATGTAGGAAGTGACTGGTTTGGAAACAAAGGAGTGCAGGAGCTGAGAGAAGTTATGTCTGACAGCCTCAGTTTACTTACAAGAAACATAAAGGGCCACGTGTACACTGGGAGCACTGAGGGGTTGAGGAGAGGCTTTGAGGAGGGTGTCAGGGTCACTGAGGGTAATATGAGAAAGGCTGACCAAGGACCCGTAGAAAGATTATCAGACAACACCAAAGGCACAATTGACTTAAGACACTGCAAGCGGGCCCAGTGCCGCATATTTGAATTTCTCAAGTAGCCTGTGCATGAATGCAGGAGGCATAGTGTGACATCCAAGGCTGGGGCGAGATGTTGGAGGCAGGGCGAGAGCAACTGAGTGAATCCAGGATGCAGGGCAGGGAGGGAACTGCCCCTAGGAGGAAAGGCAGGCCTGGATGTGTGATGAGGCCAAGGGGCGGATGAGAGGCTGTGCGAGTGGAGGAGGCGGGGTCAGAGAGCAGGAACAGCACTCTGGGCCATGTGGCAGCACTCGTCTTTCTTGGGGTAACTTATGTGTGTCTCTGCCACCAGGTGTCATTTGATAAGGCATGTTGCTTCCAATTCTCCTGGGGTAATTAACCCAGCTATTAAAGCATCACAAAACAGAAAGTAAGAGACATGGTTAATACACTGGGTGGGGTGGTCCCAGGGGACTGAAAACATGTGTCCGATGGATCAATAGTGGAACTGTCACAATGGAGAAGTTACAAATTATCTCAGGTCTCACTGGTATCATATCCTATTAATGAACATTAATGAAAATAAGCCATGCTTACACAGGCAAGTATTTTTGTCCCATATTCTCCATGAAATAATAAAGCATTATCAAAGATTATAAACCCAGGAAGTATGGGTCATGTAATTTATCCTTATTGCCACTAGATGACACTATAGCTTTATTGCTTTTGTGAGTGTCAACAACGTCCACTCCCAGTTCAATGAAGATCTTTTTTAAAATTTAAATAAAACATATGGCTTTACAACTAGTTCTTAATAATTCAAGAATCTGATGGCTTTTGGAAGATGCAGTCAAAAATGCTGCACCTTCCAAAGCTCCTAGAATGAAAGCTTTGCTAGAGCCTGGCCCAAATCTCCAAAACTGCATACAAAATTGAGTGTGTCACACACGTGTGTGCATTTTCTTGTGGCAGGAACTTTAGAGTTTAGAGTTCTCTATGACCCTCCTGTGCCAAGAAAGAAGTCTCTAGCCCCTAGTTACTCACACCTGAGTTCATGTCTTTAGGTTCCTAAAATGAATTCAGATGGAAATAAAATAGCTTCTCAGGTACCACTTTCTGATGTGTACAGATTTCCTGCCCAATTTGTGAATGGGACAAGAGCTGGTTTTTACAAGCAGAAATGGATGGCGCCAAGTTGTAGCAGATACGGAGAGCGAGGGGGAGCGACTGCGATGTCAGGCAGAAATGTGGGCCATGAGTAAGGAAACACCACGGTCAAAGACCCATGATCTTATGGATAGACACAGAGATGGGGAGCAAGAGAATGTACCAGACCCTGGGGCAACAGCCCAAGAGTCAGAGCCCAGGAGCAAGTGCCTGAGACCAAAGTCCTAAGTGAAATTTCCATCCACAGCAGGGTGGGGACAGTCCCATTCAGAAAAACGGGCAATGACGGATGGAGAAAGAGGACATGACCGTGTTTAAAACAGTTGTAAGCTCTGGTAATGCACAGATGTAACTTTACCACTAACTGAACTTTAGCTTTGGTCTCAAACCCCTATTTTCATACGGTAGCAAGAAGAAAAAAAAGATCTTAACAATTTGAAATAGCATCTCTTTTGAAACACACTGAGTTTGGAGTGAATAAGCTCAATGGGGTTCCTGTCTCCAGTGCCGGCATCTGGGGAGTGGGCCCCCTGTCCCTGTAGGACCTCCTGCAGGGGCGCTGCTTTGGGTGAAAGTCATCACGAGTTGTCTGGGTGTGGGCTGCATGGGACTGTGGCTCCCAGGAACCGGTGACCGCTTCTGCTTCTTGGGCCCCACCTCAGCTCTCCCTGCTGCTGCCAACCCCCTGACACTCAGCTCCATCTTCCAGCCAGGTCCCCCGGGAGCTCTGGAGCATCTCCGTTCTCAGCACAGTGAGCCCGTGAGACGCAACAGTCACCCAATGAATATTTGTTGATCAGATGACACCAGGGGCCCCTCGCCGTGCCCTTCCTCCTTCCTCAGTTCTTTCTCCCTGCTCCCAGCCGACTCGGCAGGGCCCCCACTCCCCTCACCTCCTCAACACGCGGTTCCTGTCAAAGTGAACAGCATTTACACTTCCAACTGTGAAAAAGGTGAACATTTCCTGCTTTATTACTAGGAGGTTGATTTCGAGAGCTGAATGAAACCTATACAATAGGTACTGTTGTGATTTCACAGAGAAGTGACAATATCAAGGCTTGAGAACGTTAAGCCACTTCACAAGTGTTCAGAGAAGCCCGTCAGATGGGGGGGCTGCAACTCTCAACCTCTCTTCTGCTCTAACCGATTATTGTTGTGTTGGCTTGTCTCGCTCAGATACAATGACAATGGCTATGTGGAAGACGTGGAAGTAAATTTCATTGTGTGGGAAATACACGGCAGGAAGGACTACAGCTTTAATAATACCATGAAGAAGGTACGGCGTCTTTGAAATGAAACACAACTTAGCACGCAGTGACACCTGCGGCTCTATTTTAAATCTATATATAAATTACCTAAGGAAAATAGAACCAGTTACATGTGGGTAGAAAAAAAAAACATGACCTGTGTATTACATTTGGTGACTACTGAAATTCATTGATGACAAGTGAAGCCTTGGTCATCAGAAAAATAAAATAATGTTTAGAGTAGGGTGATGCAATTATAGGTGAATATTTTCTTTTTTCGCCACAGTGTACTCTGTGTTTGATTATTTATGGATCTGCCTTTGGCTCTCACACATTCGTCATGCTGGTGCTACATTAAGGGCTCACTCCCTAGGCTTCATCTCACTGGACTTCCTTGCGTCATTTGACCCACTGACCTTGGCTTCACTGTCCCCCCACTCTCCTGGTTTCCCTCTGTCCTCCGACTGGTCGATCTCAGCCTCCTTGCTGACAACCCTTTCTACTTTGCAGAGCCTCTCCACAAACAGCATTGATTCCTACTTTTCCTCAGAAATCTCATGCTCAAACAAAGTCAGAGGGATAACTCCTTCCAAAGGAGCTTTCTCATCTATCAGAGACCTTAATTCTCCCAGAAGGAGAACCCACCCAGATAGCAGCCAGGAGACAACGAATTCCACCTGCTACCTGCTCAGGATGTTGCAAGAACTGTCTTTCAATTATGTGGCCAAACAAATCCATCCCACCACATTCCTCCTACACTTGTCCAGCCCCCGAAGTGTAAGTCCCTCCGGCCTACTCCTCACAATCTCATCCTTATTCTGTCCTTCTTGCACTTGGGCCCAGATTCCCATTACTCTCCACCGTCTCGAACTTTTCTAATATACCTTAGGGCTAAATGACTCTAGACACTTCTTCAGCAAACATTTCTCCGAGAATATAATTTTCCATGTTTGTCTCTCAAATCAGGGGTACTCTTGATGAGCTCTGGAATTAAGGTGCTCCTTGACCCACAGTGTCATTTCCAGATCAGTATCTCCTCACTCTAATCACAGTGTCCTTTGTTTGAGGCCCCTGTCATCCAGGTGTCATGTACCCCATCCCCACCTGTTGCTGTCTCATACTGAGAACTTGATGGGTTCTCCTCCTGCCCTGAAAGCAATGAGTTCTGCTAACCATCACGTAGGGCTGGTGCTGGGAAGAAGCTTTCTAAACAGGAAGGGCATATCCTGGCCCCGTGTGCATCTAGGTGGGGCCGTGTGACTGGCTCTCATGCTGTGGAATGAGCAGAAGTGATAGGCGTCACTTCCAGGATGAGGTGCTGAGAAGGGCTCACATGAACCTCCGTGCTTCCTAGCTTCCTCCATAGTCAGTGTATTCCAGCAACAATGAGTGATGGAGAGATGCAAGCTGGATGAGAAGAGTCCGGTGAGGGTATTCTTCAAGGAGCCACTAGACAGAAAAGCCTAATCCACTGCTCCACGGAGAGTGATCCATGGGAACCATCTCCCCAGGGGCATCTGCACTGGAGTACATGTGATCAGGAATTCAACTGCAATGTGTAAAGGCTCTGAGGGTTGGGGTTTACTGCAGCACAGCAGAGACTGCCTTGACCAATGCAGCTTCCCCTGTTATGATTACATTTAAATTCAAACACTCTGGTCTCTGACCTCAACCCCCAATTCTCTAGCTCTGTTGGTGTTATTCCACTTTGCCTCTGCCCCTTGCTTTTCCTCACACTGTCTAGACATCCACCATATGGAGCCCTCTGCTCTCTCTCTCTCTGCCACCGTCTTGCCAATATGTGCAAGTCACCTTCCCCAGTGTTGTTCCTGTGCACCCTGTGGCAACTTTAAACATTAATCGTTCTACCTTATTCATGCCTCTGTCTGAGCTGCCAATCACTTCTAGAAAAAACAAATCAAAATTGCAATAACTGGAATTAGGAACTCAACTATTGGGAGTGATGGCTGAAGACAGAATTGGTCAACTGGAAGAGGGGTCAGAAGGAAATGCCCAGAATTATGCATAGGGAGATAAGCTGATTGAAAATATAGACAAGAACATAATGGAGATTCACTGCCTAGATCTAAGGACTAGAGTCCTAAAAAGAGAGCAGAGAAAAAATAAAAATAAAATAAAAATAAAAATAAAAAAAGAGAGCAGAGAGAGTGTTGGCCAGAAGCAATATTTTCCCAAAAAGCAAAAGACATCGAGGCACAGAAAAAGTAATCTGCATCTAGAAACACTACAATAAAAGTTCTAAAATGAAAAAGAGAAGAACCTTAAAGGTAGCCAAAGGAAAAAAGAAAAGTTACTCTCAAGAGAGTAGCTATAAGACTTAAGGCTGACTTCTCTATAGAAATAATGCAAACCAGAAAACTTTGTACAAAAATATCTTTTTTCTCCCCCCCCTTTTTTAGGGGGGAAGGGCAGAGGGAGAGGGAGAGAGAGAGAATCGGAAGCAGTCTCAATGCCCAGCATGGAGCCCAACACAGGGCTCGATCTCACAACACTGAGATCATGATCTAAGCCAAAATCAAGAGTCAGATGCTTAACCCACTGGGCCACCCTGAACAAAAATATCTTTACTGATATTACTGAAAGAAAATAAATTCCAAATCTAAAATTCTATATGCAATGAAAATAACCCTTAAAAAATGAAAATGAACAACAGATAATGCTTTAAAAGACACATGCAATTAGAAGAGGAAAAATTTTAAAGTGAAAAGAAACAATGGGATAAAAAGGATTTAATACCAAAGGTGGGCAAAGAAGATCCAATAGATGGGTAAATGGACGTCCTGAAAAAGAAAACCAGAACAAAGGAACAAAACCAAAGGTAATCATTCAAGAAAACATGTCTACCCCACCCCAAGAAAAAAAGACTTGAAGTTTCAAATTGAAAGAGCATAGCATATACTCAAGAACATCAACTCAGAACAGCCAACCCAAGTGGCCATCTAGGCAAAAAAAGCAAGCAATTTACATATAAGGAAAATAAAATTAAATTATAATTTTTATAGCAATGCTTTATGCCAGGAAAAAATGGAGTAAAATATTTAAGATACTAAAGGAAAATAAACACGAGCCAAGGATTTTATATTCAGCAAAACTGATGACTCTAGAAAAGGCACAAACTGCTATTAACATGTAAAAAGCTCAGATGATATTGTTCCCATGAGCCCTTCCTGAGTAACTTACTAAATAATAAACCTTCAAACCACCAAAATCACTAAGGAGATATCAACATAAGAACTAGAGGAAAGCATAATGTAGTATAGAGTTACTTGCAAAACTGAAGCAAAGTGAGGGTTAAAGGGGAAAGAGGATAGTATACAATGGATGTATTCTCTGACAATATAGATACAATACAACTATAAAATATGCTAGGAGAATATGAGAGCATACACCAGGGGAAAAATATAACTTTTCAGTAATCACGATAGTGGGGGTAATACTTGTATTAGTTATTCTGATCTTGTGAAGTGTGTAAAGTGAGATATTCTAATTCTTCACCAAGTGTTTTTGGCATAAAAGCGAGGAGATACATACGTAATATAGAAGAAGTTAGACAAAACATCCTGAATTTGAATAAGATTCAGTGTAAACTCATGAGGTATTGGAAACTCATGTGATCTGGATATAAGTATATAAATATATTGTTCAGAGAGAGAGAGATAAATTTTTCCTACACTGTCCATTAAAATCCCTAGAAACATAAATAATCAGTAGCAGTAAGTATCCTTAATACCCTGGAGGACCTGAGGAGGACCTTAAAAGAAAAAGGAATTATGAGCCAATCTCACCCATGACCACAAATACAAAGCACCTAACCAAAATGCTAACAAATCAAACTCAGCGGTATATTTAAAAATCACACATCCAAACAAGTTTTGTTTATTTCATAAATAGAGAGTTGGAATATCATTTGAAAAACAAAGAAATCCAGTATAGTAACAGAATAAAGAATAGGCATGGATTATTATAATAGTTGAAGTCATTCAATTAAAAAATTATTCATGCATAACATTATTTTTAAAATAAATCTTGGAGGGACACCTGTGTAGCTCAGTCAGTTAAGTGTCTGCCTTCGGCTTGGGTCA